TTATTGGTTTTGGCGCTGGATCGTATTCCGGCACTCTAGTTGTGCTTGTCCCGCGCTCAGATTTGTTGTACTCATCATTCTCGATTCGTCCTCATGGAATCCATGTTGACGTCAAAGGAGTGTCTTCTTGAGAACTATCGATTGAATGTATGCCTCGACGAGGTCTGATATATACGAATTTCCTTCGCATATTGTTTGTGGAAGTTCGTTACAATCCCATCATTCAACGTCATCATGCATATTTTCGTTGCATTTCATCTCTGACCCAAGTTTATTAGCAAGTAGGTCATATTTTCTCTTTTTTTCGGTCTCGACTGCTGTTAACCTATCTTAACTAGTGATGCCAACCTCAATCAAGACTACCTCACGTCGCTTCTTATCATGTATCATGATATCCGGCCGACCCGCTTTTATTCTGATTGTAGTTCTGATTCCGTATCGACTCTGACCTCAACATTCTCATTCGCGACGACCTCCTGAACAGTTACTAATTAAGTATGGAATTCACATCCAACCTACAAATTTGGAGAGACTGTACCTGCCAAGGGACGAGCCAGGAAATGAGTTTCACTGCGTTGAACAATGGAGTGAGTTTAAGCTTCTGGAACTTCATGACATACTTGTAGAAAGTGTGCCCATATCTACCAGGAGGACGGCAATTTTGAAGCAGGAAAAGACTCCCAACACGTACTTGGTATTGCGCCATACCTTCAGACTATATACAACCTTGTAACAAATCAAACCGTCAAAAACGTATTAGCAGCCCAAAAGGCGCTTTTGTATGGTAAAACAGAAAATAAAATTTGTCTTGCAAAACTACATAAGATGAGCAGAAATGAGCTAATTTCTATGTCAGATTCATCAATGCTGTTAGATTTGGAAACAGTACCCTACAAGATGAAGCACGATACTGTCATCTCCAAAATAGAAATATGTTTGGAGCTGAGAAAGGTATGTGGCAACATTGTAGGGATCGTGTGAAGACAGTGTACCATCTAGCAACGCAGAGCGAAAAAATGTTACATCACGACTATACTAGAAGACACTATGAGGTCCTATGATGCACCCACTTGCGACGAGGTTTAATTTTGAGTTTGTTTTGTTTTTATTTGTTATGGAGTAAAATCATTCTCACGTATATGAAGCTATTCCGCTCAAGAGGCCGTCGTGAATAATGCGATTATCAGAGCCGATAGGCGAGTAATAACAGCTATAAAAATGAGGACTGATCGGATACCATGATATATGATAGAAGCGAGGTGAAGTAATTCTGATAGAGGCTGGCAGGACAGGTTGACAGCACTCGAAACTGAGAGAAGGCTCCAGTATAAAATACTTGTAAACTCGAGTCAGAGAGGAAATGCAGAACAAATAGAAAGCCAAAGTATGCAATTCTAACTTCAATTTTTATTTCCTCATGCCAAAATTTGTCGCAGATTACAACTTTTAAGGTACTTCAAGTTCAAATTTGACAGTGGCCGTGATAATTAGAAATGAGTTAGCGAAGATATTCTTATCAATAAAATGATTCACCTTAAGGAAAAAATTGTTACTTCAAGAATTATTCACAGAAGAGAACATTTTCTATTTCTCTTTTATTAACACCATTCTAAATATAGTCTCATGTCCTTAAATTACACTGATAATAGCTCAGGATTTTCTCTATTTGTGTTTACTACAGGTCTTTTCCTTCGACTTCTAAAATGAACTTGGTAAATTTCGGAAAAACTAGGTCCCCATTTAACTTGTGCACGGAATCTCCTAAAATAAATTAGAAAAGTGCTCGTCAAACTGGTACCTTATCCCAATGTTGTTAGATTGAAACTGAAAGTTTCATAACGTTCCGTTTATACTTAGGAGACTACAGATTGGTTTGATCAAGCCAGAAGATCGATTTTCATATCTTCTAATACGAAGTTGAGCGCATGTAACTTGAAGAATTGTACCTTCCCAATGAGAAGAAATTAGGGAATTGATAAGTAGGATACGACAATTCGTTTGAAATTTAATGTGGCTGAAATCATATAGTAGGAGTATGTTAGAAACCGACTTATGATGGTAACAGTGGGAAAAATTTACATTTAATGAGCGTCTCTGCAAAGATATATTGCTTTTCAAGCTTCGTACTTCGCTTTTATTATTTGTTCTATATATTTATTTGAAATTATGCCAACTTTAATTCTGTATAGTGTTAATTATGGGAACGAATTATTGGTTTCAGCGTCGGAAAGAAAATGGCTGTTAGAGAAAGGAAAAAGGTGATGGAACTTCTGGAAATAGAAGCTAAGATTCAGAAATTATGGTCGGGAGCTAAAGTATTTGAAGTGGATGCTTCTGATGACATGTAGTTGCCTTTTCTTTTTTCAGCAATTATGGTTTTCTTCAAAATGAAAAAGGAACCACATAAGATGGTTGTCTGAGCAACATGAATTTCAGATTGGAACCCAAATATATGGCGAACGTCCCATATCCTTATATGAACGGTCGTCTTCATTTAGGACATTGCTTTACCATATCTAAAACTGAAGTTTGTATACTTCAGATGCACTATTTCCGCTTTTCTTTATTGAAACTATAAGTAAATTTGTTGCTTTCAAAAGATTTCATCTTCATGTTATAGTAAAATCAGGTCTGGCGAGAATCTATTCTCATTTTTTTCATAGTTTTTATAAGTTATCGTATGAAATTGTTATAGTTCGCAGTGGGATTCCAACGATTAAATGGAAAACGATGCTTGTTTCCATTTGGTTTGCATTGTACAGGAATGCCAATCAAAGCTTGTGCTGATAAGTTAAAAAGAGAAGTTGAAAATTTTGGTTATCCACCTCAGTTTCCTGATATTAACGATGAACTTCCTGCAAAAGGAACTGATGCCATAGAAGGAATTATTAAAAATAAAAATAGAGGAAAAAAGGTTCATTATTATGCTTACAAAGTTATGATTGTTGCTGGATATTTGTGACAAGCACATTTTTAGAGTAAAGCTATGGCTAAAACTGGAACAGCTAAATACCAGTGGCATATTATGAAATCTCTTGGTTTAAATGATTCAGAAATCGTGAAGTTTGCTGATGCTAATCACTGGCTAACCTATTTTCCTCAACAGTGCATAAACGACGTCAAAAAAATGGGTGCCAAGGTTATTACTTTCTGTTAATCTTCATTCTTTAAGGAATCGAGATCGGTCGTAAAACTTGAAGACTAAATAAGTGTCATTTATTACACACATTGCTCTCAAAATTTCGTATGTTCCTAATTGTGTGGCATTCTGAAATTTATAGATAATAATTTTTAAGGTTGATTGGCGGCGTACATTTATTACCACTGATCACAATCCTTATTATGATTCATTTGTTTGTTGGCAGTTTCGAAAACTTCGTGAAGCCAAAAAAATTGATTTTGGCAAGCGTTATTCAATATATTCTCCGAAAGATGGACAACCCTGCATGGATCACGATCGATCAAGTGGAGAGGGTGTTGGACCACTGGTGTATACACTTATAAAGTTGCAGGTATCGAAAACATGTGGTTTCCGGTTTTTTTCTCCCATCAGTAACTTTTTTTAACCATTATTTTAGGTCCTTAAACCGTTACCAAAGTTTCTTGCTGTAACTGGAAAGGATGTCTTTTTGGTTGCCTCAACACTGAGACCAGAAACGATGTACGGTGTGACTAACTGCTTCATTCATCCAGATATTGAGTATGTGACTTTATTTAATATGCTATTGAGCTTTTTGTATCTGAAATTATAGATATGTTCACTTATTTCTCATATTAAATTTCTACTATTAAAGAAGTTTTATCCATTTTGACGTCATTATTTTATCTTGTGTTCATTTTAGATATTGTGCTTTTTATGTTGGTGCAGTGGAAGAAGAGATTTTTGTAGCCACGAAAAGAGCAGCTAGAAATATGAGTTACCAAGGAATGACTGCTATAAATGGCCAGATACGATTCGTTGAAGGTGGTGAAAAGGTATTCTTTAAATTTTTTGGTTGATAATAATTTGTATCACGTTTATGACTCAGCAGTTACAGATATTAGGCCGGTGTTTGCTTGGTTTAACATTGAAAAGTCCACTTACAGTGTACAACCGTATTTATTCACTACCTATGATGACTATTAAAGCTGACAAAGGTTAGTTCATGTTTTTCCTGATTTTGACATTGTTTGGAATGCTGCTGTTTTCAGTTCATAATTTTACATGAATTAAAAACCTCCTGACCTTTATGTTGCCATTTGTTCATACTTTTCTTTGTCGCATGTAAACATCTCATTTGTTGATTAGAATTTTGCTTGTGTGTGATCTCACTGAGACTGTCATGTTTTAAGGTACTGCAATCGTTGTAAGTGTACCTTCAGATTCACCAGATGATTTTGCGGCTTTAATGGACTTAAAAAATAAAAAATCATTGCGAGAAAAATATCGTATAAAAGATGATATGGTCTTTCTTTATGAGCCGGTAAATTATATTTTGATGTAAATTTTTAAATTATGTTTTAGCTGTTTTAATCATTTTTAATGTTTAACTGCTTTTTTGAAAATTTTGTTGCTGGTGTACAGTTTTGGAAAATAGAGGGGCTATCATAGTCTCAATATATGATAGTTGGCTATTTTAGTTGATATTTATGCTTTCTAAAAGTGGATTCTATCTCGAGCACATTTATTACAGATTCCGGTTTTGAAAGTACCTGATTATGGAGAAATGGCGGCTGTAACCATATGCAAAAAACTGAAAATTGAGAGCCAAAATGATAAGGAGAAGTTGGCGGAGGCTAAAAAAGAAGTTTATCAGAAAGGTTTCTATAATGGTGTGAGTATTTTTTGTTTGTTTTTTGACCCTCTATACCTTTATATGCTGGGATGCGCGAGATAAATTATATATTTTTGCCTTGAGATGAATTCAAGGTGATGGTAATAGGCAAGTATAAAGGACAAAAAGTCACCAATATGAAGCACAAGATTCAAGCAGACCTAATTGAATCTGGTGAAGCTGTTTCATTTGTCGAACCGGAGAAGAAAGTTATATCGCGTTCAGGGGATGAATGTGTTGTTGCTTTGTGTGACCAATGGTAAGTTTCTTTTTTTATTATTTTTGAAGTTCGTCCAATTGTGACCTGCATTCAAAAATGATAATCTAGGAGCTTTGAATGTACTTGAAAGTGTTGAAATTGATTATTTAAAGATTCTGAAGTTTCTGATCGAGTAAAAATTGTTTCTAAATAAGGTTTCATTTGTTTGGACTTCAGTTTAACCAGTATTTTTTAAACATATTTTCATAAATATAGAAAACTTTTGCATTGCAAAACTGTTGTATTTATCATCTCTTTAACGACTTTCAAGTAAGAAAATATCCCATAGTTTACAGGTTTATAGACCAAAAGTTGCTTTATAGAAAAATAAATTAGTTATTTAGGTATTTGAATTACGGTGATGAAGAGTGGAAAAAAAGTGCAAAAAAGGCTTTAGATCGGCTGAATACATACACAGAAGATGTAAATTTTGGTTGTTTGTTAATTGATTTTTTGATGTGACTTAACATGGAATTATTGCCTAATTTTATGTTTTATAGCTTTTCATCATTGCAAACTTCACTGTCGTTTGGAGTTTAAAATCCGTACTAAACATGAATATTTTTTCTTATCTAATAAAAATGTGCTTCCAATTTGATGTGGAGTTTGCTGTTTTGGTATTTCTGACATGGTAATAGTTTTTTGATTAATAAAAACGCAAAAAAATTTTAAATCCACTAACGATGAAAAACTGTAAAAACGTAGACTAATAACCATAAATATTACTGAAGTTCATCTAAAAACTGAGAAAATTATTTTTCTGACCGTAATTGAAAAATTATATATGATCTGATTACGTGCAGTCAGTGACAGAACAGCTGTTTCATATCCATAATTTAATAGCTTTTTGTTGCCAGGTGCGACGGAATTTGAGTGCAACAATTGACTGGTTGCATGAGTACGCTTGTTCTCGGTCATACGGTTTGGGTTCTAGATTGCCATGGGATTCGCAGTACCTCATCGAGTCGTTGTCAGATTCAACCATATATAATGCTTATTATACTGTTGCGCATCTCTTACAAGGTGGTGCTATAGATGGAAGCATGGTGGGTCCTGCTGGAATAAGGTATATTTTATTTACTTTTATCGATCCTGTAAAATCTGAAAATTATGTTCAGAACTTAACATTGCAGAGCATCAGACATGACGGATGACTGTTGGGATTATATTTTTTTGAAAAAGCCATACAACAGTAAAACAATGCCAGTATCTGAGTCGAAATTGGATCGTTGTAGAAAAGAATTCGAATACTGGTTTGCGTTATTAGCGTTTGAATTCCAGTAAATAATGCTGCGTTTGAACAAATATTATATATTTCTCAATAATTATGATACAGTAGTTTTCCTAGAAATCATCAATTTGACGAGCTCAGTGGTGATTCCAAAAACTTTGACTTTAAGGTATCCAGTTGATATGCGTGCCTCTGGAAAAGATTTACTGCAAAATCATCTGACTTATTATTTGTTCAATCATGTTGCCATCTGGAAAGATCAACCCGAGATGTGGCCTAGAAGCATACGGGCAAATGGGCATCTGCTACTTAATAATGAAAAAGTTTACAAAAATTTTGTTTACACCTGCTATTGCATACATATATGAATACTCTTTGATTACTCTATATTTTTACAGTCATGTTGAGTGCGTAATGAACATTTTTAGATGTCTAAACAAACTGGCAACTTTTTGACCTTAAGTGAAACTGTGAATATGTTCTCCGCTGATGGAATGCGCATTTCTTTAGCGGTTAGTTTATACCCTCACCATTTCTGTTATTCATAGTCTAGTTTTCATCTTTCATTCTTTAACCTCCAAAAATTATTACTTTTTCAAGTGACTTTCCGGGTGAAGAATAGTTAGTGCAATGTGCTACATATAGTCTTATTTTATGTCTACATTTGTTTAAAATTTTTGTTTCTAAAATGCTTATCATATAGTATCAAGGGCGGTCAGTTGTGCACTGATGGACACTGATCGACTCATTACAAATGCTCTTTCTAGATATGTGAAAATTGAACATCTGTTTAGGATGCAGGGGATTATATTGAAGATGCCAATTTTGTTTTTGATATGGCTGATGCTGCTGTTTTGCGTTTGTACAATCTTCTTGCGTGGGCACGCGAAATGGTTGTGTTTCGTAAACAAGACAGTTTTCGTAATGATGAGAAATTCAGTTTTGTTGATCAAGTTTTTGACAATGAAATGAATTCCCTAATTCATAAAACATATAATAGTTACGAACAAACACTTTACAAGGAAGCTTTAAAATACGGATTTTTTGAGTACCAGGTAATTTTAATAAGTAGAATTTGAAGGAAACATGATATTAGCTTTTTTTATATTTCGGGTATTTTTATAATTGCTCTTATTCATTACCTATAAAGAACATTCAGTCGCATACTTTCCTGTGCCAACTCATGTTTTTTAATCTCATCATTAAATGTATTGTTTGGATTTTATTTCTTTTTATGGTATAATTTTGCTTCCAATCACTTTTATGTTTTCCAGAGTAATCGTGACAAATATCGTGAAATTTGTGGAGGAGATTTGCAAATGCATGTTTGTTTGGTTTTCAAATGGATTGAAACACAAGCAATCATTCTTTCACCAATCTGTCCCCATGTGTCGGAACAATTATGGCAGATTTTAGGAAAGGTAATTTTGTAGTTCTTTCCACAGGTACTGCAATTCGTTCATCACTGTTATAAATTATTTTCTAGGATGGTTTCATTGTTTGTCAGAAATGGCCCGTGGTTCCATATGCTGATGACATTCTGACTAAAAAAGCAGACTTTATCGATGGCGCAATTAGAGTTCGTTTTTAAATATTTCACATTATTTCTCTTTTGAAGAGTAGTTTGTTGTTTTGGAATCTTTTTTTCATGCAGGGCAGAGAGCTAAATTATATTTTGCAGGATTTCAGACTACGTTTGAGAAATCATGTAGCTCTGAAGCAAAAAAAAAGTGGGATTGGAAGTCCACCATTAGAAGCTATATTATATGTGGCAAAGGAATATCCAAGCTGGCAAAAAGAAGTGCTCGTTCTTTTGAGTCAATACTATCAGGTTACTTTTTTCGGGGCGTTTGTAGATCATTTCAAAGTGCTTTGCATTTAAAAAATACTTTGGAAGAAATAAAGTAGTCACTTTCTATTTCATTAATTTGTTTTTATTGCTTTTCAGGAAGGTCAGGGTATGCTTCCGGATAATAAAGAAATATCTTATCGGTTTGGTAGTACAATTAGCTTAAAAAAGATCATGAAAAAAGTGATGCCTTTTGTTCAACTGATACGCGAAAATTTAGTAGTACATGGTAGTTCGGCACTGGATATTACTTACTCATTCGATCAAGTAGAAGTTTTAAAACAGGTTTGACTTCGACGTATTTTTAGGTGTTTCCGTTATTATTTCAGTTATTGGTTTTGTTTTCTTATTTTTTCATCAAATATGACTTGATTACTTTTCAGCTGTTACCCATGAAAGGCAGAATATTTCTTGTTTTACTTTTTTCAGAATGAAAATTATATTTTGTCAACTTTGAATCTAGAAAAAATTGCAATTATTGATGTAGAAAGAGAAGATACTCCAGTAAATGTTGCTGAATTAGTATGTCCTGGAAAACCATTAATTATGTATCAAAGCCAGAAAGTAAGGTTTTTAAATTAATTAAATTTTTTTTACATGCTTTTATTGTTTTTCGAAATATTGGACTCTATCACTTTATATTCAGCCTGGAATTACTGTCACATTTCGAAATGTAGAGCCTTGTTCCGGTTTATTTGATCTTGAAATATCCATTGCAACTGGTGATACTGCAGAAGTTGTGATTCGCCGTTTAAGGAGACTTTGTAAAAGTATTAAACGTAAGTTTTTAGTTTTTTTTATCAAGTTTAAAGACCTTACTTTTATCAAGTTACTTCTCTTGAGTAAAACTTATATGAACCAAGTCAGTGGGCGATTTTTAATTGTTAGTTAATGACTCAGTATTAATTTGTCATAGTTTGATCGCATCAATTTACTGGAAGTGTAGTTTGTTTTCAGCCAGACAAATCATTTCACTGTGGCGGTATTTGGATCCCGTTGGAGGAGATAGAAAACTCATAAGACCAAAAAATTCGTTGGAAAATAATGAGCGCATTGCAGATCTGGGTGAATTCTGTTGGCTTTTGAAGTTTTTTAATGCTTGGAATAATGTTTCTACAAATATTTATTTTCAGCGGAGTTCAAAACAGACTTGGAAACTGGGAAAATTTATTTACTAAACAATGGCGCTGTGCTCGATTTGGGAGATACTTTAATATACAGCTGTACCAGTTGACTTATGCATTGATCCTAACATTTCAGACATAAAATTTTGTGAAACTTTTTTTAACAGTGAGTAAGTAATTCAGAAACTTTCAGCAATACTAAAAGTATAATAAAAGATGATCTGAGTTGCAGACGGAAACCAGTGTTTGGTATTTTACGTTCTGTGATTATATGTTTTCTATGTTTATTATGAGATTACTAAGCAGTCAATGAATTTGGTTCTATATCATTATTTTTTCACCTTTATTAGTTTTATTCAAATCCCGCAGTTTATCGACAATTTTTTAGGGTCCATACTTTTGAATAAAACTAATTTTGCTGTGAAAAACATTAGTTCATGAAAAATAACGAGCCTTATGAAAAAATATTGAGGTCTAAAGTGGATGATGTTTAAAAAGTGATAATTTGTTAAAAAATGGTTTCTTGTATTTTTTGTTCTGTGCAAATAAATATTATTTGAAAATTTGTTTTTTTATCATTTAAAAGCTTGTTTTTTGTTTGCTGTAAAATACGTGAAGTATTGTTCAAATAGGTCTTTATTTTTAGTAGGGAAGCATTTATTATTTGTCATACCGAGATATGAAAGTGGAAGGTGATTGTAAAAGGTGGTAGTTTTTTTGTGTGTCCATACTTTTCAGAAAGTGAGTTTCGGGTATTTGTTAGATTCTACTTATTAACTGACATTTTAAGAAACTGAATTGTAGCGTGGACGCTACAAATTTGCATGGAATGTAGTGGAGGGCCGTGTTGTTCTAGCATGTCGACATTCCTGCAGCAAATGGTTTCGGCATCGTCCGGCGCCGTCGTAACTTCGTTATTAGGTTGTCAATTTATTTATGTTCACGATGGTTACAAAATTAAACTGTGCATTATCAGGACTGTCAAGATGTCTCGATGACTGGTCTTTAATCGGTCAAGAACATTTCACATTGTTCTAGACACCATTTGCGAGTCATAAGGCTTAGATTGTTTTGCTTTGTGTGGATTTGGATGTGTTAAAAATCTGCGTCATTAATTGAGTTTCATTTCATTTAGTTAAACCATAGTGAAGCATTTACTGGTGATGTATTCTATATAATTACGGTAAATGGACGTTGTACTTTATTAAAGTGAAATGAATCTTTGTAGTGACTCCAATGGATGTTGTCAAGATTCGCCTGCAACAGCAAGCACATCCATTTGTTAGAGGTACTTGCTTTCTTTACTACAATGGGTTAATGGACCATCTATGTACAGCATGTGCTGATATCAAGTCAAAAGAACCGTGCGAATGGTTTGCAAGGCCTGGAAATTTTAAGGGAACGACGGTAACATATTTTTTATTAAGTAATAAATTTTTAAGACTGTTATGATTGCATTATATGTTTATTTGGAAATATATTAAAATGTGCTTGAAAAATATCTGCAGTTTTAGGATGCATTTATCAGGATTGCAAAAACAGAGGGCATTCGTTCTCTATGGAGCGGGCTTTCTCCAACACTGTATGTGAATTAGTCGATTTCTATGAGTGAATTCTAAAAGTTATTGATGCTTATGTAAGAATACAATATCTTACAGATTTATAAATGTTTCAGAATTATGGCAGTACCAGCGACAGTATTTTATTATACGGTTTATGACAATATGTTATGTTGGTTGAGAAAAATACATGGTGAACGCTATTGGACCCCGTTGATTGCAGGATCAACTGCTCGTTTAGTTGCTGTGACTGTTGTTTCGCCAATTGAATTAATAAGGACGAAAATGCAAAGTGAACGTCTTACATATAAAGGTTCAGATTTAATTAAAAATGTCGAGAATTTTGCGAAAACAGTTTTTGAAGGCATCCTGTAATTTTTCATAATTAAGTCAGATTTATTTGTCAGAGGTATAAGAATTAAGAATTTTATATAGGAAGGATTAACTATTGGCATGTCTAAAAGATATAATTAATGCTGGTTCAAAATTGTTCTGCATGTAAAATTTCAGCATTTTGCTGTTCTATAATCTTTTTTTTCAGACATTGGGTTAGCTATAAAAAGGTCAAAAGCTGTGGAAGGGTGGGTTAGCTTGTGGCGTGGTTGGAGTCCTTCACTGCTACGTGATATACCGTTCTCAGGTTTGTCATTAATTTCTGCATGGTTTCCTTTAAGTCAAAAAAAAAGTCTTGCTTAGGATTTTGCTTTGCAAAATAAATTTCAGCCATGTACTGGACTGGATATGAATATTTAAAAGAAAATGCTTTACGGGTCCTGGACCGCCAAGAAACTAATTTCTTGATCAGTTTTCTATCTGGTGCAGTGGCAGGCTCTTTTGCAGCTTTTGTGACTACTCCATTTGATGTCGTCAAAACTTATCAACAAATCACACTTGGAAAAGTAGCAAATTGATTGAAATGTTTTTTGCTTTCGATTAAAGTCCATGATGATAGGAGCTGGACTTCTGTACTAATTTTCTTTCTAGCATTTAGGTACAAAAGAAGGGACTTAGAAAAGATGGATATGATAGAAACATTGCAGTGATAAGCCGTGAATGTACTACAGATGTCTTTGAAAGATGGGAAATTCAATCAAAGCATTCACTTGGCATGATAAGAGAAATTTACGAAAAGAAAGGACTTAAGGCTTTATTTGCAGGTTTTTTTTTGACTTTGCAGTTCTTTTAAAGACTTTTATTCCAGCATGCTTGTTGGCATAGATCTCAAGTTCATTTTTCTTCATCATTTCGTTCCAGGCTTAATACCGCGAGTTACAAAGGTCTCAAGTGCTTGCGCAATAATGATCGGATGCTACGAGTATTTCAAACTCTTCTTCAAAGATTTGAATGGGTTGTAGTGACTGACGAATGGCAAACTGTCACAATACATCTCGTAGAATAGGATATAAGCTTGTAGTTTCAGTGTTAGTAACGGTTTAGAAATCCGACGAGAGTTAACTGTAAATCAACCAGGATATTGTGTATTTCTCTACTTTCAGCCATTTATAGAATTACCACACTTCTTGCTTTGAAAAAAGCTGACCTTGCGTTCATCATACTGTACTATCTAATGCAGCAAAAAGAATATGGAAACTTCGCATACATAATTGATGGAGTGGTTTGTAGTAATAACTGGTTTCAAACCTCCTTCATGAAAAACTATTGTTTCATCTGTTTTTCAGTGCATCAAATAAACATATCTAGAAATCTTATCTTAGTATTCTAGCGTGTTCAATGTGCATAAACACAACTGTCAAATTTCTTCATGAAGTTGTATAAAATTAATATAATTATGTTACAGTATATGGGTTTCAATATATTTCTAAAAACAATCATGAAGTAAAGGTGAAAACTAGAGCCATCACCTAAAGTTCTCTCAACTAATTTTTTAAAAATTTTCATAATTTAAATAAAAGAAGCAAGTAGGTCCCAAACAGATGACGAAGAAATTGGATATAATCAGGGCATAGTCTTGATTCTTTCCGTTTGTTCTTCAAGTTCTTTAGCAATCTCAGGAGGAATATCTGATCCGATCTAAAAGAATATCTAATGTAGGATCAAGATTCTAGTTTGCTTTGAAAGTATTTAAAGTGCAAGGCTTATTTCTGCCAAAAGGACTGGGTTTAACCTGCTGATCGAAGAAATGTTTGGTTTCTTCCATGTCTTCAAGCCAGTATTTCTTCGGTAAAGACATTAGCTCTGGCCAGTTCACATTAGGCAGGCCATCAAGATTGATTGTACCTAAAATTCGAGTTATTTCACATAAAAGATTCGTATTTTTGGAGAAGTTTACAGAACTAAATATCCTTCAAAAGTGTCCAAAAATTTTTATGGTTATTTCATAATTACATTAGATTTTTTTTCTCAACAAATTACCTTCTTTTGGTAGGTAACCAATTGGGGATTCTATTGCGATAGTGTCATCACCATCACATCTTTTGAGAACCCAGTCCAGAACACGAATATTGTCACCGTATCCTGGCCACAAAAATTTGCCATGAGCATCTGTTCTGAACCAATTCACATGGAATATCTTTGGAGCCTGCAAGAAGTCGCGTTTTCAATTATAATTCTTATTTATTATATGATTTGAATGAATTACCTAATAAACTACATAACTACACAAAGAAATGAAATTAAATTACGTGAACCATACGTTTTTTTTTTTAAAAAAAAACGCTTAGATTTAACAAACCTTGTGTGGAGGTTGTCCTAGTTTAATCCAGTGGCGCATGTATCGTCCAAAGTTGTAGCCCATAAATGGTCGCATGGCCATTGGATCATGCATAATTTGCTTACCTGAAGTCATTATAAAAATTATAAAAAAATGTATGAAGACTAATAAACTCAATTTATTACCCAAGCTTTGTTTTAACTTCTGGAAAAAAATCAAAAGTCTTTAGGCTTACATAGAAGCAGCAGAAAATTAAAATGTTTCTTGCCTGAAAATTCAGCTGCTGCTGTAGCTTCTGACTTAACACACGCCCCCACAAAGATACCATGGATCCAGTTACGCGATTCAAACACAAGCGGTACACCCTCAGGTCTAAAACACACTTGAAGATTCTGCAAATCCATATTTTTATGAAATTGCTAGCATATTTTACTTCCTTCATTGTAGTAAAATTCCCTTCTTTAGTTACTTATCGGTTCTCTTATTTATATTTACAATTCATGGCTAGTAAGTTTAGGTTAAATACAACAGACCTTCGTCCTCCGAAGATTATTGCATCAATCGGTACACCTTCAGGTTTTTCCCAATCAGGATGAATGATTGGACACTGGCCGGCTGGTGCAGTGAATCTCGAATTTGGGTGGGCAGCTTTGGTAGAATCTCCTAGATGCCACGGTTTTCCCAGCCAATCAATCATGTCAATATTCTATAAAATTTTTAGATGAAAAAGTTGAAATGAGATAAAAAACAGACCAACTTCACAACAACACATGATCAAGTCATAAAACTTACTGGATTCTTAAGCTCTTTCTCGAGGCCTTCCCAGAAATACTCGCCATCAGCAGTTTCAGCCACATTTGTGAAAATCGAATTTTTCTGAAAACTTGCCATTGCCATAGGATTTGTTTTGTGGGATGTTCCGGGAGCCACACCAAAGAAACCAGCTTCCGGATTTATAGCATATAAACGTCCATCCTGTCCGAATTTCATCCATGCTATGTCATCGCCTACCAAGAAAAAAGAACTTTCTCATGCCTCGTTACATTTTTTACGAATACAAAAAGTCGGCAAATGAAGTAAATCTTACCAATTACGCGCACTCGCCATCCAGGAATAGTTGGCTCTAGCATTGCCAAATTTGTTTTTCCACAAGCAGAAGGGAATGCTGCACAAACAAAGCGTTCTTTTCCTTGAGGACTAGTAATGCCCATAATCTGAGACAAGCATGTTTATTTGCGCCCTGCTCCACATTTTTCCACTTTTTGTTTGCATTTTTCAACTACCACAATCTCTTTTACTTCTAGGATTATTAAAAATATTTGCCTACAAAAAGAACGTAAAAATCGAATTCTGACTTCATGCTCTAAACAGAAAATGTTTTTCAATAAAAGTTCATTTCAAATCCTGTGCCATATAAAGACAAGACGTTAACCTACAAGCATGTGTTCGGCCATCCAACCTTCATCATAAGCAATATTCATTGCAATGCGAAGGGCGAAACATTTCTTGCCTAAAAGTGAGTTACCACCATATCCAGAACCAAATGACCAAATCTCTCGTTGAGCTGGGCGATGTGCAATAATTGTTTTTTCTGGATTGCATGGCCACTGGTTGATAACCTTCGCTAAAATTACCATTATTATGATAATTCTTCCACACCAATAGTACATCACGCAACAATACTTACTATTTCAATCGCCAAAGAATGTACGTAAACTTTACTTAGAACAGGGCGTGGCTGTCCAACTGAATGAATGCAACGCACAAATTCTCCGTTTGAGTTTAGCAATGCGTCCAAGACTTTTTTACCCATTCGAGTCATAACTTTCATACAAAGCACGACATATCTAAAACACAAATCAATTCTACAGACAAATTCTAGGAGGAACACTTCATATAAAACATTTCAAATATTTACACGGAGTCAGTGAGTTCGATTCCAATTTTAGAAAGAGGACCACCAACAGGTCCCATAGAGAATGGAACGACGTGCATCGTACGACCTACAAAGAACCAGTGCTATTCTAAATTTATTGAAATACTAAGAAGAAGATAGATAATTTAAAGAGATTATTTCTTGTTATTTTACTGGTTATCATATTCTTCCTAAATTGTCAGAGTCCTCACCAGCCATACAACCGGGGAATCGGTCATCTAATTCCTTGCCGAACTGGTCAGGTGACATCCACTGGCCCATTATTGGCTTCACTCCCTCAGGAGTGTGACACACCGAGTCGTACTTTTCGGGTGTAATCATCCAAGTTTTGGACTCGACGCGCGCCACATCACGAGGATCAGTGCGGCAGATATAGTTATTTTCGTATGCCTTCAGTGGCGATAAAACACCGGTTTCTAGACATTTTCCAATGAGCTCTTTGAATTCTTCTTCAGATCCATCACAAATGTAGATGGCACGAGGTTTCATCAAATCGGCTTTTTCAGCAACGAACAGTCGCACTTTTGTGGACAAACTATTGAAGTCCCCTTTGATAATAGGAATTTTATTGAGCTGATGTGTAATCACCTCCGTCACTTTCTGAAAAAACTTTCATGGTTACGGACTTTCGAGAAAATTTTGAAACAACGGGATTAATTGCTTGTATCATACAATAACAAAATAAAAATCCTAAATAATTTGAAAGAAACGTACCGTTTTAGATTCGTCAGTAAATTCAATGAGTGAACGAGAAACCATAGCTTTCCAATTTTCCTGTAAAACTTAGAGAGAAAAAAAAACTGACAATTAGGAGAAAAATGCGCGAGCCTTCTAAATTAATAAGCCATCATTAATGTTCAAGCTTGAAGTTAATTCGTGCCTCAGAGATAGTATGAGGAGCATTAACTAGACAATTTGTACCATACCATTCATTCGTTATAAATATTGAAAACTTTTTAAACGAGTCAGCAGTGCTAATTTGACTACTCACAACGCATTAGTTCTGATCGAGTATTAAATGAGCAGTCTGAAGTACTAAAGTAGTCCAAGCAAACATTCCGTTCTCACTGCACAACGCTGTATTCTGCACACAGTATGTGTAGCACTGCACGCCAAAAGTAATGACTCGACCTCACTTTTGCTCTTCTTCTCTCTCTACAAACTATCTACAGTACTCTTCTCTGAAACCCTCATCTTGTTCAACGACCACCACACGTGTGCTCATACACGTGCACTATGGAGAAAGAAAGAATGAACGACAATCCACTCTTATGTTCGGCTCACCCTTCCATTGAGTACTCTTCTTGCACTTTGAACAAATGTCGATCGATGTAAACAAGGATTGTTCACTTCCACTCTCTCTCTTTCTCTCTCTCTACACGCCTATTGCCTTTGCTACAAAAATATGTAGCAAAGGCGTGCGAGGAATTGTGGGTGCATATGTGGTGGCATATGCGTATGAGTGCAGGGAAGTGTGGTAAAGAACGTTTAGTGCAAGTGAAAGGTGCAGGAAACGATAGTGAAGTGTTGCAGGAGTGTTGCGCTGTTGCTGTAGTGCTGCGCTTGACTGTAGCTGACGATGGAAGGTTTTGATCCACCACTCTCATTTAAGTTTAGTAAATAGCACTAGCAATGCTTATCCACAGAGAAATCGCAAATGATGCAATTATTATTAATTGAATGGTACAGGAATCCTTTTTCTGGGACTGATATAATAAAGTTTGCGTGAGGAATAATAAAATAAGCTGTTACGCATGGGACATGCTTGAACAAGCAGCAGTCGTTTAACAGCTCACCGACGTAATGGAAAAAAAGGCAGTGCAGATGGTCATTCTATTACGTCGGTGAGTCAGATTTTGCGTACCACATGAGAGCAAAAAGTTAAATGAATAATAATGAATGCATAAGAGCAAAAATAAGGCACCTGACTTTGCTCCACGTATTTTTGCCTGACTGTATAGGAGAAAAGTAAATGCCTGGGGAGGTAAATGGAAATTAGTTGTCTTATGATATATGACCAAAAGAGTATGATGAACTCTAGCTACCAGATGATTCTTATGATCGGCATGACTAACTGATACCAGGGAGTTCAAATACCGTTAGTTTAGATTGCAAACTTTTTTTAATGATGAGCTTGATTCCTCTTTACTCCGCTTTCACTGTTTATCCTCTCACAGGGTAATCAAGCAATAAGATTAATATTATCGGTTAGAAATAAATCATCCCTCATGTACGAATTCAAGCATCGGTTAATGGGTAGTTGGTAGCAAAACTTTCGAATCCTGGGCTGAAGGGTGTTCAGACGCAGGGCTAATTCAGCAAGTTAGTAAGCACTGGGTGCAACTGTTTGCTCTTCCTTACTTGATGGGTTGATGATGAGCTTAGTAAAACAGACACTACTCAAGCAAGAAAAAAGAATAGCGTAAATCATGCGCTGTTCTAAAAAAATTGCAAACACCCAGCACATTGCGATCGATGAAATGCTGCAACCAGTTTTTGAATGTATTTATTTGATGGGATCAAAACATATTTATCTACCTCTGAACAAAGTTACTGTTTGCAATCATGTGCACACTCTGCAGCATGTGCGAAAATAATGTTTGCGAAGATGCACTTTACATGTGGTGTAGTACATTGTTATTATCAGAATGTTGTTATCGTTTAACAAAGCAGTTGCATAGGAAGCAATCTCTTCATAAACTGATGAATATTTTCAGTTGTAAGCAATGGGAGACAATTGTTCACTTGTTGGCTGTATAGCATCAGTGATCACATTAGTGATACCATTCACTTACGAAAAAAGTGGGACAGTAAGAACTTAGCTTTATGTAAGTAAGCACGATCAGTTGTTCATCAAGCAGTCGCAACGTAAACATTTCATTGGGCTGTGGTTACACTACAAATTGAATTTCAAAGAGGCAAAACAAACTGCTGTAAAAGTTTAATGGCGTAATATTTGACTCAAGTAAAGTAATAGAAGCAGTCAAACACTAATCCTACTGCTATCATCAATTTGCGAGGAACCTTTATGCTGTAAATCAAAACATTTTAAAGATATAAATATAAGGTATAACAATAAGAATCATGATGGGGAAGGGGATAGCAGAATGCGCATTTCGTAGATTTCATCATAATCCCCATATGAGATCTGAAGGACCCCACACAAACAGTAATGCATCATGCATAAATAGATTTGTGAACAAGGCAGGGATCGTAAGGAATTGTGCAGAAATGTAGCTGCAAGCCAGGCTCAATTATTTCTAAACTTATTCTAAAGAAATCTACATCAAAAGTAGAAAATTCATAAAATGCGTGAATGTGAAAGCGAAAAGAACTGCTTTGTGTTCATAATACTCAGTTGTGCAGAAAACATGATTACATTTACAAAGATGTCGACGACGGCACTTACGTCATGATTTCGAGGGGAGTGAATGAACTCTACAGGATTTGTCTGTAAAGATTAAGAAAATCTTCCGTTACCGCAATTTACAAATAATTTTGATGCGAAGTGATAAGGAGTCAGAGTTAGCAAACTTGTCATCAGCACAAATGCTTTTTGATTCACAATTTATCATAAAGATTGTTTAACGAAAGGTTGAAACTGCTGCTAGTGCATCGCAACGTTCTTCTGTTTACTTCTCGTGATCGACATTACCAATAACAATGATAAATGAGTACTGCACCAAATCACTTAAGATGAGCAAGTAGCAAAATTTTGCAGCAAAACCTGTACTGTTTGGTTACATAAATCATTGAAGGTGCTAGCTCTCGAGGGATAGATTTCAAAGTAATTTGAAAGTGCATATATTTGTAAAATCACACAAAGCTGCTCAAGTTGAGTACACAAATCGAGGAAAGTTATCGTCGCTTAGAAAATTATCAGTTCGACGCTCGTAAAGAAAAAAATTTGCATACGAGTCATGTGAGAACTTTGACGGACTGACTTACCATTTATCGAATAGTATGGTAAGTACTAATATGTTCTTATCCCTTATTATGATGGGCAAAAGACAAGGATAATTTATTGCACGCTTATCGAAGACGATGCTGACACGAAAAAACGACAATAACGATAACAAAACATAGTGGCGCTAATGAAAATGACCATAAATTATCATAGTAATAACATAAAATTACAATAATGATGGCAAATGAGCAACACCAACAGTAATACAATACGACAGCAAACACAAACCAATAGCTAAAATTACATGCTACTTCTTGAAGCAAGCAGCGAAATGTGCTTGGCATAAGTAAAGACTTGGCAAGCAATACCACAATTTATGTCACACGGGTGACAAGAGCACGAATCTTATGAAACGGATATCTCCACGATTTCCACGGCATAACTGTAATCACTTGCCTTACGAAACACCATAATGACTGCTTCAAGACAACAAAACTTTATATATAGTATCATTTTACTGATACAGATCAGTTTCACTTCTTTGGACATGAACTAGTAGTCAAAATTAATCGAAACAGAATATTTAACAGATCAAGCAAATCTGAATAGATAGCAAACCAGAACGATCTCGCTACTAGTCAATTAATCTTTAGAACCAATACGTTGAGACGAAGAGTTGCGTTTTGTCAGTACAGACAATATTGAAAGACCTTCACCAAGAACGACTAGACCACCGGTCACAGCAACCTGACTTACTCAATTTCAGTCCTAATGCAATTCAAAAAACGCTTTTGCCGTGAAATACCACAGCCAAGCTAGTGAGTTAAGGAGAAAATTTCAACTCTATGGCAGCTCAACAAGTCAAGTTATTGTAAGAGCTTTTGTTCGGTTTAACTTGGTCCTGCCTGACCTTCCAGCTTTGCTAGGTTATAATAGACTTTTTTTGACGGCTTTTATCTTTTTAAACCTTTTCTTTCTTAATTGGAACACCATTTTCAATCATTGATTGAATATTTTCATGACCGTAATGATGACTGTTTCTTGCTTAAAACTGGATCAAAACGAAACTCAAATTATTGATCGGTATGTTTCCGAAGTGGTAGATTTCCTTGATCTTAATGTTTAAAATATTAGACAAGTAACTATTTGACCTCTACGGCTTAAAAAATTGCTCGATTTAAATTTGCCACTTTCTTGATAAAGTACGAATTCCATTCTTGTTTTACATCCTGCCTACAATTCAGCTCTAAATTGTTCTGTATTGTTCTACGAAAAAGTTCGTATCGGAAATTAGGTCATATTTTATATTGGAGGAAAAGTTCCTACTCGTTTCAGGATTCGAAATTATCTTCACCAAAAGAGTCCGCATAAAAATTTTTTTTGAGCAAATGATTTCAAAATGAGGCAAGACGATACACAACGATATATTTGTATGTTCTTCCTCTCATATTTTATCAGTTTAATACTTCATGTTTTTATACTTTTACAAAATCATTTGTAATGGTAATTATGAAAACCTGTTTTTAGTAGTTTAATGGCACACTTTACACGTTCTCTGAATACACACAAGCTTCGTTCTTATACATAACATATTTCTTGTCTTTTTTGTAAAGAAAAAACAAGGTATGGGATTTTTCGAATATATTTCATTTGTAAAACGCGATTAAATCATAAATTGGTTTTCTGCACTTCTAACCATGTGTGAAGAAGATGATGAAAAAGTAGTAGTGTTTGAATGCGGTGCTTCATTGGCTGCAAACGCTTTCCCGAATTTCGAAGAAATTCGTCGTGCCGGAAAACTTTGTGATGTAGTGCTTACTGCTGGTTCTTTGAGGTGCGCTTGTTTATTCAAGTTTTCAAATATGTCAAGTTCAGAGACCTGTTTAAAAATTTCTTCATTTCAGATTTAGTGCACATCGAATAGTTTTAGCTGCTGCAATCCCTTACTTTCGAGCTATGTTTATGGCTGATATGATTGAGACTCACCAGGAAGAAATTCATTTAAAGGGTATTTTACAATTATTTCAAAGCAATCACTAAATTTTGTTTGTCAGATTTTGCGAATTTTGTTTGGCTAAATGTGTCCTCGAAGTTTGTCTGAAAGATATTGTGTGGAAAGATGTACGATCAAATATTTATCATAGCATCAGCACAAAAACTATTAACGAAGACAAGAAATTATTGAAGAATAAATAAAAGTCGATAATAACTCTATATGCACTATCTATTAACGCAGTAATAACCTTTTGAATAGATTTCGAGCCGGATACTTTGGAACAGCTTATTGCATTCTCATATACGGGAAGTGTGCGAATAACTGCAGCTAACGTGCGCAGCATGATGTACGGAGCAAATTTCTTGCAGCTGAACCAAATCGTCGATGAGTGTTGCAAATATTTAAAATGTAGATTGCAAGCCCAAAATGTGCTTGGCATTCGTTCTTTTGCTATGACTCTCGGTTGTGTATCACTCGTTCTTTCTACGGGTACTTTCTAATATATTTTGGTTTTTCCTGTCGTATTTTTTCAATAATTTTTATAAACAACGTATGCAAAAGTATCGTGATGCAATTGATAGTGATTAATCACTCTTACACAATAAGTGTGTTCATTTTCTTTATATCAGTATTGAAGATTTAATCATCATTTGTTCTTAAAAAGAAATACTTATTAATAACAACGAAATACTGATGTCAATAATACTTTTGGTTTTATGGGAGCATGCAAACAAATTAATTGCTAAAAATATAACTAGAATCATTTTAGAAGTTAGTTAGAATTATAAATTTAATGCAATGCATGGACATTTAGATCACTTCCTTCACAAACATTTCTTATCAGTATCACTGGGTGATGAGTATCTAGCTCTGCCAGTAGATGATGTTGTGACAATTTTAACTAGAGATGAACTGTTTGTTGAAAGTGAGGAGCAAATTTTTGATGCTGTCATGAGGTGGATTCAGTACGATATTGAAAGAAAACAGTACTTGCCGAGGTAGTATATTTTAAATTAAACTAATAGGTTTAAATTTTCACTTCAAGATACCTTTGTATGTGAAGTAATGTGGTATTGAAGTCACAAAGTTTTTGTTAAGCAATGAAACATCATTGAGACATTTTGGTTAATTTTTCTGAATATTGGGAATCGTGAATGCCTTAGTTATATGAGAAGAATAAGAACAGCAGAAAAATTTTCATGTCCTGAAGCAAGTATAGACTGCGTCATTTTTAATGATATAAGGAGCGTTTTAATTTCGCATGTAATTCGGTGCTTCATCTCAGTGTTCTGCTTCATTACGCATTTTATGAAAGACAAATTTTGATGCGGTTATTTTTATAAATTATTTGCCAACTGTCATGGCAGTGAGTTTGCTGATTACTTTTTGATTTTATATTCATTTCTTCACGTTTTTAAAATATGTCTCTTTAATTCTTCAAAGAACTTGATAATATTGTTATGTATTTCAGGGTACTTTCCTGTGTAAGGATGCCGTTACTTAAACCGCAATTTATCGTTGACCATGTTGCTTCGCATCCATTCATACGAGAATCCCTTGAATGTCGTGATCTAATTGATGAAGCAAAAGATTATCATTTATTACCAGAGCGAAGAAAATATTTTAAGAAATTTAGGCAAATTTTTGAAGATCATCCTCCACTAAGGATGATTGCTACCGTTTTGTAAAATTCAAAATTATTTGATGCCGTTCCTTGAATTTATTTTTCTTTTTGGTGTGTAATCGAAAGTTTTTATTTCAAAATGAATGGTATCGGATGGGTTCGAAATTAGCCTAGAAAAGCTAGAGTAACATATTCAGGACAAAGCAAAGGTGCTGCTTTGATGTTCCGGGTTCGATCTTTGCCGTAGGTGGTTTAACAAACTCAGGCGATTCTTTATCCACTGTTGAGATGTACGACTCATTGACTGGTACTTGCTTTTACTTATGCCATGCACTTTCATACATTTTTGCGTGACAAGACAATAGTTCAGGTAAGTGGACATCAGCACAACCAATGAACTCAATTCGCTCAAGGGTAGGTGTCGCTGTAATGAATCGAATGCTTTATGCTATTGGAGGTTTCAATGGTCATGACCGACTGCGTACTGTTGAAGTCTTCGATCCCGATCAGAACAAATGGATGGAGGTCGTATTTAGGAAATGAAAATTAATTTTATTTTAACACAAATCTAATTAAATAGGAAAATAGGACTTAAAAATGGGATTTTTCTAATTAGCAAAATTCGTTCATGTTTTTCTTGAAACATTATACTAAGCTGTGTAACACTTTGGAACTTTTTAGGAAAAGTTTAGAGTGGAGACCCTTTAGAGTAGGTAACTACAAAGTTTCAGTTATGCAGTGAGAAAAAGCGCAGTGCTGGTAATTACATGGATAGATTGTAATTACCGATACTGTTTAATCGATGTCGAAATTTTGATTTTTTATGAGTGTTCATTTGTGATCTAGGTATGTTCACTTATTAATAAACGTTCTGCACTTGGAGCAGCTGCAGTAAACGATTGCCTGTACGTTTGTGGTGGCTATGATGGTATTAGTTCACTTGCTTCGGTAGAAGTATATAATGCTTATACGAATCGTTGGTCATTAACTACTCCAATGAATAAACGGAGATCGGCTGCCGGTATAGCAGTCATTGATAATTATATTTATGGTAAGTTATGTTTAGTAGATTCGATTTTTATATATTTTGGCACTCAATACATTTCTTACACAGCAGTTACTTTGTGTTCAACAGCAAAGTTATGAAGAAAAGTTGAATGGCAAATTTTTTTTCCAGTAATTGGAGGTCATGATGGGATGTCAATATTCAATTCTGTTGAACGTTTTAATGTTGATAGTGGTGAATGGCAGATGGTAAAATCAATGTGCATCAAGCGATGTCGTTTGGGAGCTACGGCTGTAAGAGGAAAAATTTATGTCTGTGGCGGGTAATTTTTCTCATAGTTGTATTATATTACATATAAAGCTAGGTGTTATGTATAAGTTATTTCTATTCTTTTTACCATTTTATCTCACGGAATTTTTTCCAATCTAGCTATCAGCTTCATCTTAAATGAGTTATGCACGAAGAAAAGGTATGCCTTATTTTATAGTTATGATGGATCTCAGTTTCTGAAAAGCGTCGAGGTATATGACCCAGAAAAAGATGAATGGCAACCGCTTTCATCCATGCATTTAAAACGAAGCCGAGTATCATTGGTTTCAAATGCCGGTACATTATATGCTATTGCAGGGTGTGTTGTCATATTATTTAAATTATAGAGTTCACTGTATTTCTTAACATTGCTTCACGCATTAATTACAAGCTATTAAAAAGATTACAATATTCACTTAAAAAAAAAATTCTTCCTTACATCGTAAAATGTTAGTTAAGGTCAAATAACATAATAGTTAGTAGTTACTTTTTTGCATCACTTGAATAGGCAGAAGAATTTATGGAATATTACTGAGTTTTCTCGAATAGATATGCCAATTTTTTTGCTTTTTTTTTGTGAAGAATTGGCGCAGTCATTTTAGCTATGATGGTATTTCCAATCTGAGTTCCATGGAGATGTATAATATAGAGGAAGACTGCTGGACACTGGCAACCAGTATGGTAGCTCATGAAGGTGGTGTCGGTATTGGTGTGATACCATTCCATTCGAGTAAAATCCAATAAGAGTATCCACTTTTCCGCCAGCTTTACTCTAGTCCTAATTTTATATTATTTATTTAAATCATCTGCTCTTTGTGTGTTAAAATGTAAAAAGAGAGCATGTACAAAGTAAAAAAAAATTAAGTTACGAATTTAGTGGATGAGGACGGAATAATTTTCCTCATTTTAGCTTTTGTTTCTTGCTTCAAAAAATGTTCTTATTTCTTACTTATTTATTGTATTTTTTGCTATCGCATTCTATTAATAAAAATTTTATGATATCAGCGATCCCAAGTATTATTATTGAAAGTCATTCGGAGCATACCTCTTCCAGACTTTTTTCCATCTTAAACATTAATAAGCTCGGTCCAAATATTTTTCAGTATTAACGGATTTATGAAAAAAAAATTTTTTTATGAAAAAATGGATATAAGAAGCATATGGCATGAAAACGTATCACTTAGTTTATTAGTTTGGAAGATTATGGTGGTTCAGAAAAGATAGTAGTTCAGTGTTATGTTATCAGATTCGATTAATCAAATTTAGAGATCTAAAGATTCTGTAGTTGCTTCTTTCACTTGGTATAAAAGTCTGGTAAGAGTTTCGAGTAACAAACTGGTTTTTTTAAATTTTTTACTGTATATAAATTATGGTGTGTTGTTGTTCCTTCATGGGATGTAAGTGTTTGAGTAGGTTGGGGCCTATATCTAAGGCTAGAGGATCTGAGAGTTGTGACAAGATGTTTTGGTTGCTCTGAGGAGCATAAATTAAAGTTCTTGCTTCACTTTTCTTTCTGCTTTCTTCGTGTCTTTCACTTTTTTTTTTTCAGTTGCTGGATCGCTTTCATTCCCGTCTCTGATGTCCATGTTTATGTTACTCAGTTCTTCTACCTTCAGATTTTTTTCAATAAACTTGGCGAAAGCAGATGTTGTTCGCTCATCTTCCACGTAATATATAGGCTGTAAAAGTTAGAGATTTTTGGGCTGTATTTCGAGATAGAAATTTTTTCTTAACGAAAACTTTGTCTAACATTTTAAAATGATTTTGTTTTGAGTTCTATCAGATATCATTTGGAAAAAGCATTATATATAATTTGAAAAATGGGACTAGCATTTCTATTTCAAGCTAGGCAAAAATGAAAATGTAGAAATGGATGAGGCAGCGGGTGATTATCTTTAAATTTTAGAAAACAATTGTCATTCTTTAGAAGTTGAAGTTGAGATCTCGAGTTAAACAAACTTTTTTAGATCCTTTGATGAATAAAGCCATGGTTGGCACATCAAGTATTGGTATTCCTGATACTTCGTTGTTTACTGAATTCATTCTCGCAATCACTAGTTGTTTTTTGTCTTTGTACTGTTCTCCAAGCTTCTCCAATATTGGCATCGTTTGTTGACAAGCAGCACACCATGGTGCATCTATTCATAAAAGTTTGTACGAAGCTACAATTTTATTATTCTCATATGTTCTTCGTTACTGAAATATCAGCACGATGGGCTATTGACTATATTTGAGTTTGTGTAATTTTTTATACAAGACAACAAGTGATATAAAACTAGCAAGGGACTATTTGAATTGCGATGCGATATGAGATGCAAGAGTTCTTTGATGATGATCAGTGTATGTTGTATCAAGTTTGTTACATGGTTTGATACGAAAATTTTGTGGCTAGAAGTATCTAGTTTATCCTTCGCTTTTCCAGCATTAGTGTGGGATTCGTTTTGGGAAATATAAGGTTACGTTTAATTCATTAACTAGAAAACCGAAAAAAATTGAGGTTTTTTGAAACTATAAAAATTTTTATACTGTGTGGATAATGGGATTATTATTTTCGAAAAGGAATGGGCTTGAATACCTCTAAACTAACATTTTTCGTTTTATGGACTACCGTAATTCCAGTATATCAATATTTTTCAATCTTGATTCGTACTATCTATTCCACTTCAAGGTGTCATTAAATAAAGAACGACAAGAAAAACTCACAAAAGAGCACGAACGTTGTCCTTTTCTTGTCATATACTTGTTTTTCAAAGTTTCTACCTACAAGCTCAACCACAGTTCCTTTATCCCAATCATCTGGAATTTCATCTGTTTTTAAAAAGGGTATCGCTTCGCCATTTAAACAAGATTGCACGAAAGAAATTATTTCCGCTTTCGTTATCTGTAAAATTTAGGGATTTTAAAGTCTCGTAGCAATAAATTTCTTTGATTTCAAAAGGCTTCAATTCTAAGAGAAATTAGTAGTAAGTTTAAACTAATAATTCAAAACAAAACAATCAAGTCTGATGTCTCTATGTCTATTGTTAATTTTGTTGTCTCACTTTAAGTACTGACGATAATTGTTCTCGTTAAAATGTGATATATCAAGCATTTTTTAAAAAGGACTTTCTCGGAAAATTCAATAACAAATCAATTAAAATCCGGCTTTACGCGTGAGAATTCTATTTTACTTTCGGATATTTTTGAGAGGATCTGAACAAATTTGTAAATTAAAAATTGATAAAACAAATCATTAAATATAACTAGAAAAATGTACCTCATTGATGTCAGCCTTGTATTTTTTAAGGCCCTCTTTTAAATTGATAAAAATAATGCCCGGGATATCTTCTGCTATTAAGCCGAGAAATTCAATTAGGAACCAGTTCTCTTCCTCATCCGAATTAATATATACAAATCTAACCTGAAATTTGAACAACATTTTGTTTGTAAATGTTTGTTGATTTGTATTTTTTAGAACGAAAAGAAAAAAGTTTCTAGGGAGTTTACTTCTGTCAAGTTTAAACAGCGTATTGCAATATTTCTTTCTTGACTTGTGTAGGTATCATATTTGCTTTTACTTAAATCAAGATTCTTCTGACTGGTAGTATTGAAAGTCATGTATAAACCTCTTGTTCGAAGTTTTCAGCAGCTTTCGTGAATTCATCTAAAGCATCGTCATAATCTTCTGATTCTTTCGACTCGATCAGTACGGCATAGTATGAAGTCGCTTTACCATCAAAAATGGAAGAGCCAGGCTTTTTTGCAAATTCGATCACCAGATTTTTCTTAGTCTGTAGTAAAACTAATCATCTTGCTTGTCTCATTAAAAAGTATTAACCGAAGTTTGCTTAAAGTTGAAAAACTTCTCATCTTTACCAAAATTAATTACGATTTGAACAGCAAATTAACTGAGCTAGCAGCACTTTTTAGAAGTCTTGCATTGAGGTGGAACCGAATGATATAAGCTGCAGAATTTTACCTTAGTATTAGCTATTATTGGTGTTGAAAAAAGCATAAAAAGTAAAGCAATTGAGCACATTTCGTCTTCTTTTGTCTCCTTGAGAGTGAAGTGATACGAGAAGGTAACAAAATAACTACTAACACTGTTACGCGTTATCGGTGACGACCCGAGTGGACGGAGTTGAGTGCAAAACGTAACTTGTTTCTCTGCCAGTTTTTATCCCTAAGAATGCATGTGTGAATGCCTTCTGTTCTACTCTAAAACTCGTTTCGTTGGTACTACTGCGAGAATTATTTTTCCTTTGTACTGAACTCAAAAATTATTTCAAAGTTAGAAGGAATAGATTTGTATATTTCACTGCAAATGACAGAAAGGATGATCTTTTCTTTTTCGACTGCTTTATCAGCCATATCATGCACTCATCTAAAGGAACCAAGAAACTTGTAACTTACCCACGTAACTTTCAAGTAAATTGTTCTTTCATGTTTTCTGCATTGCAAAAATTAGATTGACTGAGGTGAAATTCATTGGATTAATTGGAATTATATTCAGCATTTCTATCCTGGTAGCTTGCTGACATTGTCATCTTATCAAGTACTTTTGGCAGGTGATCGGTTCCTCAGTATATATAATATCCCTTAGTTCTATTCATTTGCTTTTTCTCATAAAATGGGATTCTTATATTTTGTAAATCGTGTAGGTTCAAAATCTTGCTTTTCGAGTCTTGTTTGCTTATTCTCTTATAATTTTAGTTGATAATTTGCGTGAATGTACAGAGTCTATTTCAAGAGTATCTATTTCTTATATGTACAGTTACATCTTGCATAAGCATTCTGTTTATAAAATGAAGCCTCGTGATAGCAGCAGCTCAATTTATCAAATAATGGGTAGAAATGAATAAATCGCGTAATTTAGTTGTATAATTTATTGCGATCAAATAGCAGTTAGCGTGTTTTTGATATATAGAAGGATTTTATGCCCATTGGACTAAAATGTATCGAAAGAATTACTAACAAATATGATGCATTTCTGCAAGAAAATATCTTTTGATTACTTTTATTGCATTCTTTTCTGCTTGATGTGTCACATATTTTTACAGTCGTCGAATTCAGTTAGCAGTACTAAGAACTTCAGTTGCAATTTAGAATCTCAATATGTATACGTATGCATCAAAGTAGTTAGAAAGCTTTTTTTATACTGATGGAATCATAGCATAGAATGATTACTACAGTTATGGTAAATAAAACTAATATACTGTTATTTACTGTGGTTAGTCATGAAGTTCATGCGTTTATGCCTTTGCATAAAGAAATGTCTGGTTATCAATTAGAAAATCATAACAAGTCCTTATTGACAATAATTTTCAAACGCTGAGAAGTGGTTATTTGTTACAACAATTAAGATATGTGTCAAATTTTTCATCCTCATTACTTTAGCATTCTTTTTCAGTAGTTGGAGCGCGAAAAAATTTGCAGTGTGATGAACGAAATAAAAAGTAACTTTTACTTCTATTAAATTATTAAAGAGTTCAGCACTGAAATTTTACTTCGTTTTGTAAATATAATATTTATTTCAACTAAAAGATGTCTTTAGTGTTTTCCTTACAAATTTTGTCGTGTTTTTTACCACGATACTGGATAGGAACAGATAATAAAGATAGGAATAGATGAGTTCTTATAAAACAAAAGCAGTGAGTCTTTTCTTTGCAGCAAATCAAGAATTGGGAGAATGTGTGCGTAATTTACGTGAACAAGGATTGACTTTTTCGCAAATTTCTGAGACATTAAAAGTGAGTATAATTATTTCTCCCCAGCTTTTATTGATTAATCTAACGCTGAGCAAAAATTCTGTGCTCATTAATGACTGTTGCAGAAATATGATTTATGAATACTTTTGCGAAATCTTCATGAAAGTCTCACTATATTCCAAACTTTATGTGCGTCTACGATGAATAATGATCCGATCCGAAGGGTCAGATTATTTTTCATCACAGAATTAATCTTATTTTGTTCTTAGCAGCATAATCATAGCCTTAAAAATATTTAATTTTTATTTGTGTCGCTTTAGTTGAACCATCTTCAACTCCATTTGTTGAATGAATTCGTCTCTTTAATGTTAAATGTCATAAAGAATTTTGTTTTCAGCTCCCGCTGTCGACTTGTTATTCCGCTCTGAGAGCACTTAAGCTATCAAAAGATTATACAGAAAGACTGAAGATGGTAGTGAAAAAGAGAAAACGAGAAAATCCCACATCCTTGCACTTGGTAATAATCCTCATTTTCCTGTTCATTTTCTTCTCAAAATCCAGATTGCTCATCAGAAATATTTTAGCTTGTGTACTTTAAAAAAGCTAAGGCTTGCTGCACATTTGCATGCTTTATCAAATTTGAAGCGAATCATGAGAATTAAATAATGTTAAGGCAAAGTTTAGTTTGTTTTACCAGTTGTAATTTGTCAATTAACAATGAAAAATGCGATTTAAGAATGTAAATATTACAGAGTGGGCAATAATAAGTAGAATTAGAAATGTTTATAGAGTGGCAGCTGTGATTCAAATTTGAAAATAAAAAATTTGGGAGAATCGCATCCACTGTCAACTTCAACAAGTTCTACTCTTTCCTCTGCTTATAGTTCAAATAATCAAGGGTTAATAACAAGTCATCTTCTACAAAAGACAAGGCATTCAGATGAAGCAAGCGCTTGGCATCAGAATCAGCGAAACTTGAATATGGTGTGCTTTTCTATCTAGCTTTATTTTTTGCAATTTGAATATGCAGAAAACTTCTCATATTGGTTTTCTTTTGTATTATTACAAAAGTCTCAAAAGCTCGAGAAGGTTAAAATTCCATCTCTTCCAGAAATATGAAAATGGTAACGGGCAGCGGTTTATAGGAAATAGTCGCTCATCGACGGCTGAGCCTGCGGCTTCATCCACGGATACTGAACAAATGTTAATGAGTACATCAAATCAAGTTGACTCTAGTTTTTTAAACGAAGTCAGAGACAGTATTCCAGCAACTGCCGTCAAGGCATGTTCTTTAATGGTAACTTGTAAGATCCAAAATTTGGGAAAAATACGGAGTTATTTAGTAATAATATTTATATGACCTAGATTCTGGTTCCAATATTCCTCAAACAGATTTTTTGGTTAATTTTGTATCCTTTTAACAAAGTGAAAGCAAAATAATGAATTGAGCATATTTTTTACAGTATTTGATTGAGTCATATTACATTTAAGGATCGAGGTAATTATTTGCTTTTCTTTTTTATCTCTCTCTATTTTTATAAGTGGAGACTTATTTAGAATGATTATGCAGTCAAAACATTTGCTTTGGAAGAAAATACCGAAAATATGATCAGTCAGAAACTAAAATGGGCTTTGGAACAGTTGGAAAATTCGAATAAACCAGAGGAAATAGTACAATTGATGAATGTCGTCTCTACTGCCTTAAACATATTAAATAGTTTAAAAGATAGAAATAATTCGACAGCTTGAATATTACAAACCACTACATGTTTAATGAATTCAGTAATAGACGACAAATTATGTCGATTGTTCTGACTATTTTTTTTCAATTAATTTTGCCTTTTGCGTTATTTTTATGATAATTTGATTTAAGTGAATAAGATTTTGTTTGGAAAATGCTCAGATTTTTTTGCAAATTTGTTCTGAAAATTGAGAAACAACACCGGTAAGATGCATCCTCAATTTGTAGGACTATCAAACTTTTAATAAAAGAACTACAAAAAAAAAGAACTCCGTAAAATTTATTGATGTAATATCTGGCAGAATATGCACGTTTTGTGAGAATAAATTTATTATTAAGAGAGAAATGGTGACATTATAATTATTCAAAAGCTACTCCTCAATTAAACGTTACGATAACAGATGTGATGTAAAAATAATGTGAATTTAAAACTATCATCCTATTTGTTTTCTTCTCTCCAACGTATTGTAATCTCAATTCTTCCTAATTATTATGCTTTGGTATTGAGTGCTTTCAGTGTGAAGGTCCATGTCATTCACCGGGTCTTAATATTTTGCACGAACTCTTAAAATGAATTTACGCTTCATCTCTTTAGAGGTGGTGTCTCTCAGTGATCGCATTATTAATGACAGTACTTTACAACATATACATCTCTTCTACAATCCTTGCCAACGTGGTGAAAGCTAAATGTATGGGACTTTTCCAGTTAATTGTGAAGACCCATCTTATTCTGCGTGTGGTCCGCAAATGTACTATGTATCTCAGAAATTTCGCGAGCTACGCTTATTTTCGTATTTCAATGCGAACTTTATCCCTTACTGTGCTGCACTTTTGACTTTTCATTGATCTTAATTATATTCTTATTGGTTTTTTATCGGAAATATGACGCTACCTTTAATGTATTTCATGCTTATAAATAAGCGAGACATCAGTGCTTTGCAGTCTCTCATCGTTTCAGGTGAGTTTCGAAATATATTTGAAGTTTCCCTCGAGCTTTTACTGGATTATGTACGGTTATCTTTCGTTGTTCAGAAAGACAGATTCGTCATTACGGGAACAAACTTCAATACGAAGGCAAACGTCATAAAATCTACAACTACATTGAGTGGAAAAGCCATCTTTTATTTTTCTACTAAACATGTAATATAACTTAAGTTTAAATTCGATACCACGTGTTATTAAGTCAAGTACATAGCTCAGACAAGTGGCGCCTTTTGTTTCAAGGGATGTCTCTGAATTTGCCTTATGATTTTGCTTGGTAAGTCAAAAGTTCTAGCAAATGACAGACGTTTTCTATTGTCTTTAAATTCATTTAGAAAAGAATTGGAAATTTTTTTCAAATTTAGGTTTTCAAATTTTTAAACTATAAATAAGCGGTGATGAGTATGCAACGAGTCTGGTAATATTGAAAATCGAAATCTCAAAAGTGAGCAACTTGTGTTTTTTAAGATCAATAGAAGGGTAATGTACTTGCTGAAAATCTGTTAATATCTGCTTAGTGCTTCGAACAATTACGGCCTCCACTCTCCAGCTGTCATGGTGTTCCCAATTAAGTAAAGAGATCAGTAGCCTTAAGTCTTTGAAAGCCATGCTGGTGTTGAAAAAACCCATGTCCTGAATTTACAATTGCATAATTTGTCATCATGAAGTGAAGGCATCATTTCAGTTTATTTTATTTACGTCTCATTCATTTGTTTAGACTGAAAACACCGACCTTCATCAGCTTCCCGAGCCTACCTACCAATTACCGCTATAAAGAAACCACAATCCAATATTTAGGCCGTGCATTGTATTACTGTGATCATAGGTACAAACCACACATTATATCACGCTGATAAGTATCGCAAACCGTGAAAGTTCCAGGATTGTCGTGGAGTGGGTTGGTTATGATTCAGACAGAGTCTTGGGTCGTATTAGTTTCCATAATTCTGGAAGTGGCTGTGGGAAAGTAAACTCTCTTGCGTTTACATCAGTGTTTGTCGTGGAATTTCTAACTTTGATTTTTGCTTAAAATGGGGTTCTGGGTAGAAAAGCACTCTATACTTTTGATTTTTGTGTGCAGTTACAAAACTGGACCGGTGCATCGAGTGATCTTCTTTTCTGGTTACTGACAATTTTTCATTTTCACGATTGAATTAATCCACTTTGGTTTTGACTATAAGGTCCAGCACTTATTTTAAAAACCTTTTGTTTCATATTTATATGGTTTTCCATGTTGTACTGTCAAGTTTTTTCAAGAGCTAAGCGTAGTACTATCAACTTTGATACTATCAATGGATATTATCAATTATATATATATATATATATATATATATA